TCTCTCTCTCTCTCTCTCTCTCTCTCTCTCTCTCTCTCTCTCTCTCTCTTTCTCTCTCTCTCTCTCTCCTAGCTCCAACCCCTCCACTGCATACATACATCTGCATCACTCAGAGAGTGCAGAAGAATCCCCTCAAGCTCCGCCCCTTAGGTATTTTAGAGGCTCTTATTTCATACTTCTAAAACTGTGCAAAACTGACAGACTCTAAGGGACTGGGGTTGCCTCTTTTCTTTATCATGTAAGAAAAAAGAGGCGGTGCAATTAGTAACAGCTGTAGTGCAGAGCTTGGGAAATGCTTTCTGTGGAGAGTCAGTTAGAAAATGCAGTCCTTGAAGTCTCGAGGGCCATGTAGTCTGTCACGACTACTTGATCATGTTTCGTGACAGCGACGACCTGTAAGAAGTGAGCACACATGAGTTTAGCAACCTCCATGAACACTGAAATGTTAACTTCATTAGATTTTATGTCATAAAATACTCCTTTTTTCCCCCTTCAACTCTTTAACATATGAAAAACATGCTTAGCAAGATGGGCAGTGGTGGTGCATGCTTTTAATCCCAGCACTTGGGAGGCAGAGGCAGGCGGATCTCTGTAACTTCGAGACCAGCCGGGCCTACAGAGTGTGTTCTCGGACAGGCTCCAAAGCTACACAGAGAAACCCTGTCTCAAAAAAACCAAAATAAATAAATAAAATAAAAAGGAAGAAAGAAAAAGAAAGACACACTTAGCCGGCAGCCTTATAAAATAGGTGATGGGAGCCTAGAGAAGAGGGCTCAGCAGTGTCTAGTATGGCTGCTCTTCTAGAGAATCTGAGTTTGCTCCCAGCACTCACACCAGGCTGCTCACAGCCTAGAACCCCAGTTCCACATAGGATGCTGTACTCTGGACTCCAAGGACACCTGCACCCCCCCCCCGACAGACACAGACACATATACACGCAGACATATAGCGGCAGATATACATACATGCACACACATAGACACACAGAGACAGATAGACGTCCATGCACACACACAGACACACAGAGACAGACAGACAGACATGCATACACACAGACACACAGAGACAGACAGACACACACAGTCACAATCCACATACACACACAAATAAAAATAAAATCTATAAAATAAAATAGGTTTGAATTTGCCCTGAGGGCCATCAGAGTTAGAGCCCTGGCATACAAGAAACTCAGAAGTAGAAGTGAGAAGCCTGTTGTTCTCATCTGAGGTTACTACTTTTTAACCTTGGCATTGTTCTTAATTTCCTAACCTCGTTTTCCCAACCTGAAGCTGAGTCCAGAGGGAGCAGGGCGTGAGCGCAGAGAGCCCTGGAAAAACAAAGTCAGGGGTCAAGGTTCACGTCTGCTGTCTTGTTGGGATAGGAAGGGAAAGAGACAGTAAGACTTTGATCTCGGTTCCTGACATAGAGTTCCGAAAACCCTTGAAATTTCCCGAGTGACAGGGTGGCAGGCTTTGTAAGTCACCCTTTGGAAGCCCCTTTCAGCCTGAGTTTATGCTAATGAGAGCCCTCTGGACTCCTAGACAGCTTCAGAGTGGGTCTGGTGGCCGAGGAACATGGGGGAGTGTTGGGAGAGACAACCCAACAGGTCTGTATTACAAAACCTAAACCACAGCGTTCTGAAAGGTTCCAGGCTGGTGAACTCATCCGTGCGTGCATCAGGGAAGAGATGCTCCCGACTGCATGGCCATGGAGGCCTCTTCACCTGGCTGCTCACCTGCAGCCTGTAAGAAAGACACCAGTAGTCACCGGCAAAGTGTTTCCCAGAGTGCACTTTGACTTACCAAACCTGGGGTGGGGCTGGGGAGCCCTTCAGCTTACAGCCATCCAGTCAGAATAGTTAGGGGTCCAGTAGTTGGGGCTAGTGTCCGGGGTGGGAGCAGGTTCATGGGGCTAATCCCTTAGCCTGTGGGGTCTGTACTGAATGCCTAGGTAGTATGAGACACGAGTGGTATTGGCTCGGGTGGTAGAATTCTTGCCTAGCATGCATGAAGTCCTGCTTCAACCCCTAACACTGCATAAATCAGTCATGGTGGTACATACCCCTTGACAGGCAAAAGCAGAAACAGGAGGGTGAGAAGTTC